AAACACTTGTTCTCACTTTCAAGTGACATTGTAAATAAGAATCAGTCAGCAGTATCTCCCGTAAATGTAAACAAACTTGTTTGTCTTAGCAATTGACTGAACAAGAAGTAGGACTGAGTAGACTCGTAAGCTCTAAAGTTTTACATTGTTTTGTTTTTGAGTGCAGCTATGTAACAAAAAAAAATCTACATTTGTAAGTTAAACTTTCACGATAAAGAGATTGCACTACGTACATATATAAGGTGAATTGAAAAATACTATTTCTTTTGTTTATCATTTTTCCAGTGCAAATATTTGTAATAAAAATAATAATATAAAGTGAGCACTGTACACTTTGTATTCTGTGTTGTAATAGAAATCAATATATTTGAAAATGTAGAAAAATATCCAAAAATATTTAATAAATTTCAATTGGTATTCTATTGTTTAACTGTGTGATTAATCGCGATTAATTTTTTTAATTGAAGTAACATTTTTTGAGTTAATCACATGAGTTACCTGCGAGTAATCAACAGCCCTACTAGAAACTCATAGGAGCAAGACTATAATCAACAAAGCCAGAGCTAGACACTTAGGCTTCTATACACTGAATAGGGAGAGAGGTGCCTTAGAAGGCTATCCACAAAGCCAGCACCTAAGCTGTCCAATGGGAGACGCCAATGAGAGGAGTGTATGCTAAGCCCCACCCCCTCACAGAATTAGGGCCTAAATCCATGCTGCAGGGAGGCATCTAGTGATTCATAAACCAGGGGAAGATGGCTGCTCAGCTGCCTAAGTCATGGGTGGAGCCTGATCTGATAGGCATACTCAGAGGCTGTTTACCAGACTGGACCCCTCAAGTGAGTTCACACAAAACAGCTGAGATGCCCAATTTTCCTTATAACCCAGTGGTTAAGGCACTCATCCAGGATATGGGAGATCACTGGTTCAGGTCTCCCTTTTGCCTGATGAGAAGGGATTTGAACAGGGAACTTCTATCTCTTGGGGAAGTGCCCTGGCAGCTAGGCTATAAAGTCATTCTAACTCTTTCTCTGGACCAATCAATATTTAATTAAAGTGGAACAATTTAAACAGGAGGGATTGAGGGAAACTCACATCAGACTTTTCTTGGACAACAGGAGTGAAAGAAACTGTCAATAATGACAAAGCCATAGCTGTACGTGATTTTAGTTCATTCACCATTTTATTTTCTAAGCTAGCTAATAATTTTATGAATTACCAAAAAAACAAAAACAAAGCAAAACAAAAAAACCAACCACACCTTGCAACTCCACATTAAAATTTATTTTATTCTTTAACAAAATATTATGAGTGGGTTCTGTGAGCTGAATAGTTTCACATCTGACCAATATTTTCCATCTGTACAGATTCAGGAAACCTGGCAATGGGATCTCCATACCTGAAAGATGAACAAATAATGAAAACTGACATTTTCAGTGTCTCTTATCCAGAGATCCCAAAGCAGTCAACAGACTTTAAAACCATAACCCCAGTCCTGCAAGCAACATGTGCAAGACACTACCACTAAGCAGAGTGGGAGTTCTGTGCAATACAATGTGAGAATTGATAATATGTAATAACAGAGCAAATGCTGAGATAGTCTTTATTTCCTGTTATTCTATTCAGTCATTTACTTAAAAAAATTATGAAATGTATTACTTGCAGTTCTTGACAGAAGATGAGGACACATTCATTCAGAGGTACAGTAGCATGTTCCTATCATCCTTTTCTGCCCCTTAAAATATTTTTGTTTATCATCCTTTTCTGCCCCTTAAAATATTTGCAAACAATTGTCATGTTGCCCTCGTACTAGCCATTTAGCTAATCTAGATACAATGCTCTTTCTTTTTTCATGTTATTCCATTCAGCCCTTTAATAGGGGCGGGGGGTCTTTCCTCTCTGAATTTTCTGCCAGTTTACTAACATTTCAGGTATGAACTCAACCGGAACAGAGTTCAATATTGTAGGTGAATTTCACTAGTTCTGTACAGGGCAGGACAATTACCTTTGGACTTATTTGGTCCATGGCATCACTTTTGGTAGCAATAGAAATGAAAGTGTCGCTTTGTCAACTCCCTTTACCTTTTCATAAGAAGAGTACTTTTACCCAGGGTCTTGAGAGAAAAACTGTTATTTCCTGTCTTTTGTTTAGTCTTCTCCTATGTCAGACGGCAAGAGATCAGCCACTTCATCACCACTTTGCGTAATTTTCATCTAATTTTCGTTGGGTGAAATTCTCCCCTATGCAGAAGGTCCACACAAGGGCTGTCTACCACTTATGTCCCACCTAAACCATGTTGTGAGGCCTTAACTAGAACTTAAGTGATGCATAGGACCTGTGTGGCTCCTCTGCACAGGGGCAAATTTCTCCCATTGTGAGCCTATATTTTGGTCAGTGAGGAGAGGTAAGACACAGGAGTTTCATTGGCTCAGAAATCCAAATCATGATTTGTTTGTGTGCTCAATAGTCTCTCACTTTCTTCCCAAGGCTAGCAAGAGCAGAAACACTGCAGGGAGGGTGACTAAGGAAGGAGAGAGTGCATCATTTTCCGACAACTTCCTACTGCTATTCAAATGGAGTTTCACTGATCAACTTAAAGAGGGAAGTCCTGTGAGTCAAGGAAACTCCTGAGCTGTAAGGCCTTAGGAGGAGAAGTACTTCACAGAAGTTTACTGGAAAGAAAATCTTCCATTTTCTCCTAAATCAAACCCAGGTCTCTCTCATTACAGCTAAGAGTGCTAACCATCTGACTGGTCCAGAAATCCACATTAAAGTCAAACAAAACTAAATATAGTGGTTACAAGGGTAGGTATCATATGCTCACTGGGTGATAGATCTGTGCTATAACTGAACCAGGAAAACTCCTCTCAGAATTCCTTGGTTAATCATCTGGGGACAGACTGTAACCAGGTGAGTTCGGCACCTAACCTACAGAGGCACTTCTGAGAATCAAACTAGGCACCTATCTGCATCTTTAGGAGCCTAAATACCTTTGAAAATCTGGCCCCTGGTCTCCAAGACCCAGATCCTCAACTGTATTAAGGAGCCTAACTCCCACTGAAATCAGTGTGAGTGAGGTGCCTATATACATTTGAGGATCTGGGCCCAAGTGGCTTGGTTGGCCGTGTAGTGTTTTAAAGACTGCTGTCAAGATCAGGGCCTACATTGCAAAAGTGATTAGTGATTTTTGGCACCCCTAAATAGATGCTTAAAAGGGACCTGATTTTCAGCAGGTGGGTGCTTGGCACTTTATAAAAACCAAGCCCCATACAGTGTCTAAAAGTGGGCCCCCCAAAACTGAGGCACCCTAAACCACTAGCAATGTTTGAAAATGTAGGCACTGTTCCCTGTTATCCAATGCCTTGTGAAGTTCCTCCTCCCTCACACTCTAAAAAATCTGCTTATCAACAGAACATGCTTTATATGTACAGTTTATAGATTGAGACCAAAATTTTCAATTGTAGCTGCTTTAACGTTACGCATCTAAATAAAAGTGGTCTGGTTTGTTTTCAGAGGAGCTAAGCAAGCACAATTCTCCCTGAAGTCAAATGCTCAGTACACTGAAAATCAAGTCACTTTTATTTTGGTACCTAAATGTGAAGTTAGGTGCCTAACATTTGAAAATTTTGGCCTACGTGTCCATAGGTATACATGATCCCCCAACCCCTGAGTCCATAGTTCTCTGTGAAGTAGGACAGAGAGAAAAAGGCATCTGATCTGCATAGAAGGAATATAGTTGGCAATCCAAAGGAAATGTGGGGACGACTGTATAGGAGAAATATACAAACACTTAACTGGATTGAGATCAACAACTCATCACACATGGGTAACAACACAGCCATCATCACAGAGCTAGACTGGGTTTGACCCAATGACCTACATTTGAAAGGCATCTCCATAACCCATAATTGCCAATCTCCTGAGGCATCCAGACTCTCACTCATACTTTATTCAGTCTAATAGTCTCTCATTGATAAAGGCTTGCAGAAGAGAGAAAGACAGAAATGTTTCTTTTTTTTTCTCTGTAAGAGAGCTAATTCCGCTGAACTCTCCTGCGGATGTACATCCTCCTCCTCTGGAAAGGGAGTCTTCTCAGCTGCACACTGCTGAGCCTCCGTCCCCTCAGGGCATTGAATCGGATAGGAGAGAAGGCCCTGCTCATTACACTGAGTCGTTCATTCAGCTCTTCCAGCCTCTTCTTCATTGAACGTACTTCCTTCAGAAGGTCATCAAGTGCCTTGGAGACGGGATGGAGGCTGTAGATAGAGGGGGCAGCACAGGTAGAATGACCACAGACCTGGAACCACTACTTAAGACAGAAAGTAAAACAACTAATATCTTACACTTTGATAGTGTCTTTCATCCTGGCAGATTCCCAAGTGAGCTATAAAATGGGCTCTAAATTTTCGGAAGGGACCTGGTGTTCTAGAGTCCTTCAGTTTTTGGGTGCCCAACTTGTGACACTTTCTGAAAATCAGGCTCCTTTATGGTGTCACAAGTTAGGCTTCCAAAATCACTAGTTACTGTTGAAAATTTAGACTATATATTCACCTCTACCCCTATATAACGCTATCCTCGGGAGCCAAAAAATCTTACTGCGTTATAGGTGAAACCGCGTTATATCAAACTTGCTTTGATCCACTGCAGTGCGCAGCCTCCCCTCCCCCCCGAGCACTGCGTTACCACATTATATCCAAATTCGTGTTATATCAGGTCATGTTATATTGGCGTAGAGGTATATATATATGTAGATAGATAGATATAGATATAATGTATTTCAGTGGTGAGCAAAGGGATATATATCTCCAAATACTGGTCTTTGTAGACCACTTCACAGCCTTTTAGGGCAGGAAGTGAAGAATAGTATTTTCTACTGAAAAAAGAACAGGAGTACTTGTGACACCTTAGAGACTAACAAATTTATTTGAGCGTAAGCTTTCGTGGGCTACAGCCCACTTCTTCAGATGCATAGAATGGAACATATATTGAGGAGATAAATATACACATACAGAGGGCATGAAAAGGTGGGAGTTGTCTTACTAAGGCTACGTCCTCACTATGGGGGGGGGTGTCGATTTAAGATACGCAAATTCAGCTACGTGAATAGCGTAGCTGAATTCGACGTATCCGACGTATCCGAGCCGACTTACCCCGCTGTGAGGATGGCGGCAAATCGACCTCCGCAGCTCCCCCGTCGATGGCACTTACTCCTACCTGCGCTGGTGGAGTACAAGCATCGATTTGGGGATCGATTGTCGCGTCCCGATGAGACGCAATAATTTGATCCCCGAGAGATCGATTTCTACCTGCCGATTCAGGTGGGTAGTGAAGACGTAGCCTAACTCTAAGAGGCCAATTAAGTAAGAGAAAAAACTTTTGAAGTGATAATCAAGATAGCCTAATACAGACAGTTTGATAAGAAGTGTGAGAATACTTACATGGGGAGATAGATTCAATGTTTGTAATGGCTCAGCCATTCCCAGTCTCTGTTCAAGCCTAAGTTGATTGTATCTAGTTTGCATATCAATTCAAGTTCAGCAGTTTCTCGTTGGAGTCTGTTTTTGAAGCTTTTCTGTTGCAAAATTGCCACCCTCAGGTCTGTTATTGAATGACCAGACAGGTTAAAGTGTTCTCCTACTGGTTTTTGAATTGCATCATGTGCCAGCAATGCCCCTCTGCCATGTACATTGGCCAAACCGGACAGTCTCTATGCAAAAGAATAAATGGACACAAATCTGACCATAACATTCAAAACCAGTAGGAAGAACACTTTAACCTGTCTGGTCATTCAATAATAGACCTGAGGGTGGCAATTTTGCAACAGAAAAGCTTCAAAAACAGACTCCAACGAGAAACTGCTGAACTTGAATTGATATGCAAACTAGATACAATCAATTTAGGCTTGAATAGAGACTGGGAATGGCTGAGCCATTACAAACATTGAATCTATTTCATCATGTTAAGTATTCTCACACCTCTTGTCCAACTGCCTGTAATGGGCTATCTTGATTATCACTACAAACGTTTTTCTCTTACTTAATTAGCCTCTTAGAGTTGGTAGGACAACTCCCACCTTTTCATGCTCTCTGTATGTGTATATATATTTCCTTAATATATGTTCCATTCTATGCATCCGAAGAAGTGGGCTGTAGTCCACGAAAGCTTATGCTCAAATAAATTTGTTAGTCTCTAAGGTGCCACAAGTACTCCTGTTCTTTTTGCGGATACAGACTAACACGGCTGCTACTCTGAAACCTGTCATTTTCTGAAACTGCCAGAGTAATTTGAGTGGGCAGAATGGAATTATCCAAGCTGAAACTTGCCAAGATAACCAGGCTAGCACCCCTAGTCTTGTGAAAGTGTCCGGGGATCTTTAATGGGCACAAATGTCCCGGACCGAAGTTTTACATCCTGTCTGAAAGACAGCACACCCGTTAGCACCATGCTGGACCATCTGGCTCAGTACAGAGTTAGAGGGAAGAGAGCTGCCCTGAATCACTAACACTGCTAGTTATACCAGCTTTTAGTTTTGTTTGGAGATCTTCCATCCAAGTCTCAACCCTGCTTAACTGGGTAGATCTGATAACTTTAGAGTCTCAACTGTTATTTGTTATTATTGTTGTTATTAATCCAGTAGCAGCCACCATGTGTTAGATTTCCCCCATATATATTTAAGTCACAGTCCCTGCCCTGAAGAATTCACAATCTAAGAATGGTAATACTATGCTATGACATTGGAGGGGGAACAAACTATACTGATACCAGTATTTAGAGGGAAATTCATGCCCCTTTTGAAGAGCCCACACATGACCTAACTACCAACTAAATCCCACTTGGACTTTAATTTGAATAGACATTGTACAGGCCTTCTGCACAAGTGAACTTCTCCCTGATGCCTAGAGCTGGGTTGAAAGTCAGAAAATAAACTGGAAATATATTGATGATATTTTTGCAACAATACTTCCTTCCTTTTTTTTTTGACCCAACTATAGAGCTTGTCAATTTTTTTTTCTAACTTGAAATTTTTGAAACAAAACAAAGCAGGGAGAAACCTTTTTGCAAATCCCTGCACCCCACCCCTCCATTTTCAACCAGCTCTGATTCTAGCATTTCCTAGACAGCTGTTTCTCGTTAGAGAAAAGTCTGCATTATGAATGAGAACCACTTGTTCTTCAATGGCAGCATTCAGTAGCATTGCTCTGAGTGAGATCTGACTTTTTATACATTGTCTATTTCCTTTCCTCTTTCTCTCTTCCCTATAGTTAGATTCATGCTTCACTATCTTTCAGTAGCCTGGGGCTACAGCAACATACGAAGACTGTGTTAAACTCATAGTGATTAGTAATTTCTGAAATACGAGCTGGGAAAATGTGAGTTGATGGACTAGAGAGCAGTTTTGTGTAACTAGAGAAGTTACATAGACTAAAATCATAGAGATTCCAGGTCTCCCCTTCACTGCCCTCTGGCCAATTCTAGATTTTCCATGCAACATAGTCCCAACTCGACTACTTTGTCCAGCCCAGTTTTCTATGTCTCACATGATGGGGCTTCCTGCTCTTCCTTTGAGATAATTTTTCCACAGTCTAATACTGGTAATTAGGAAATATTTAGCAATATTTAACCTACAGGATATTCAGCTATTCAAAAATTGTTCAGGGAGAGTTTTGTAGTACGTGCCATTTCCTCCTGCTTTGTGATGAGTAGGAGGATGAGGACAGTGGAATGATGCAACATACACAGAGAGAGGACATTGATCTGAACACTGAATCCTGCCGTTAGCTGATGGGAGTTACCTGGAGAACTCAGGCAGCAGAGTGTTAGGGTGACTCAACAAGGAGTGTTTCATTTGCCAGAAGATACTGTTCCCCCATTTCTCCAGCATACGAGTGACACTGTTAATGCCGTGGATGTTGACTTTGTCTGCTGCATTAGCAGAATGCCATGGGAAAGAAGAGAGGAGATTTGAGGGAACAAAGAAACTCATTAGCCATTTATCTCATTTGGTAGGAAGGTCCTTCACATTTTCCCCCTTAACTCTGAGGGCACTCTGGATGAGAACCATATGCTCATTTTCAGTAAATTACATTGATGTACTGAATACTCCTCTTGAGAGACTAAGTATGACAGCTTACCCTTCCCCAACAAATACCTTCCACCACCTCCCACTGCTTTACCCTCCTACTGTCACCAGACACCCCTCTTCCCCAGCCCCACTGCCCTGACTAATCACCTTACAATCCCTTCTCTCCAAAACATCCCAACCCAACCTCCCCTTCTCAGATAAGCACCTCTCAGCCTGATTCCCAGCTGCCAGGGTCCTCCTCCTACTTCTGGACAAAAATCCTTCACCAATCTCACTGGGTTCCTATCTCCTAAACATGTACTCTATCCAGCCCTACTCCTGGATGCAGGAACTCTCTTGTTTTCCTCATACATGGAGAACAATAGACCTTATTCTCAGCTGTAGGTTTATCTGTCTGAAAATACGGTAGTGTACTCAGGGCTACTTCCTCTCTCAAAACCCCTGCGTTAAACTGATCCATCCTCCCAGACAAAGAGGCCCCAATTCATCCTTGCCTCACAGACCTCTCACTCTGACAATGTAAAGGATTTGTAAAGCATCAGTCCCCTGGAGATTTCACTTTATATAAGGGGAGTACCTAGGGTGACCAGACAGCAAGTGTGAAAAATCGGGACAGGGGGTGGGAGGTAATAGGAGCCTATATAAGAAAAAGACCCAAAAATCTGGACTGTCCCTATAAAATCGAGACATCTGGTCACCCTAGGAGTACCAGACAGGTTTGGAGTCAGTGGAGCCTAGAGTATTTTCTGTGGATGTTCCCAGGATAATATAGATGATATAGATTCTTATGCCCTAGCTATTCCCAGCTGCCAGAACAGCCAGAACCAGGAAATGCTGAGAAAACCACACAATGGTTGTGCTGGGCATGGAGTAAGGGGGTGTTGATTGTGTTTTGAGTGAAGAATTATATCAGTTCATATTTTTATCCTGACCACATCTCTCCTGTTCCTAAACGATGAACGGTAACCCCGCTCCCACTCCATACCTTCTTCTGTCAGTAGGACCTAAAAAGAGCAGGCCACATTGAGGATCGCAGGTTTTACTAGGGATAAAATAAGAACTAACCTAAACCTTCATCAGCCACTTGAAGATAATCTTCTCCATACTCTTTCTCTGATTCCCCCTGTCTGTGTCTCTTACCTCCTTCTCTGTAGTTCCACCTCTGAAGCTGATTCAGAAAGTCCTTCTGACAACTACAGTTGAGTAGGAGGAGGAAGAAGAGGAGAACTGGGAGAACACCCATGATGGAGGCTAGCTGGGCCTTCAGCTCCTTACTTCTGCAGTGAGACAGATAATATCATTCATCCCTTTAATCCTTCCTTCTCTCTTCTCTTTCTATCCCTCTGATGGTAAATCCATTTAAGAGAATGCTGAGGTCAATTCAACTTCTATATAAGCAATGGGGCCTATCCTGCAATTCCCTGTAATGTCTTTCTCAAATAATTGAGGGGTACAGGGATCCCAAAAATATGCAGTAACTAATACAATATTTTTTCTTAATAATTCTTTGCAGTTTGATAACACCTTCCACCCAAGTACCTCAAGGCACTTTACAAATACTAGCAGAGTATGTCTTACTAGACCACCATGAGGTAAGGAAACATATGCCCATTTTACAGTTAGGAAGATTAAGATATGAATTGGTGAAGTGATTTGTCAAGCTTTAGAAGAAGATTATGATAGAGGCAAGAATGCAATTCACATATTTTAGGGACTAATTCAGTGTCCAGTGAAGTCAATGGGAGCTTTTCCATTAATGTCATTGGATGCTGGATCAAGCCCTGCATTCCCACACTTGTGTCTTACCTTCTATATTGTCCTTCCTCCAGACAGTCTGAACTATAAAGAGTTAATTTTCTAAGCATAATTTGGTGTTGGGTAAAAGGTATTAAGATAACTACCCCTGGAAACCAAAGTCCTCAATTTATCACCAGGATATATGTAACACAGAGGGCAGAGGGAAAAGCTCCTCAGATTCCTTCTACTCCAGGATCTTTCCCAGTCTAATTTAATTCATACTTAGCCTATAGGCCTTCCTGTGTAGAGATTATGTATAAATGTAAGAGGACAAATCAGTGTCTGTGACCTTTTCATTCTGTCCCTTTGTTAAGACTGCCAACACAGGGGTCAGGTAAACCCAGCTGTGGTGATGCAGGTAGTTTTTATAACATGGACAGCTGTCCGTCTAGGAAGTGGCTAGAAACACCAATTCTGCACATACTGTGTATAAATAGAAATCTGCTCCATTGATGCAATAGTACATTGCCAAGTTCATGTTACCATTCAGGATTATTAGCAATGATTTACGTGATCTATATTCTAGTTATTAATCATAGTCATGGAGGTGCCCATTTGAGAAATGGGCACATTTAGAAAGCCCAAATTATTGTGACATTCCATTCATACGTCAAATCGAAGACCTTACTGCAGACCTTGAAGAAATTAAATTACCTTTTCAGTGACATATGACCTTCGTCTCCTAATAGCCTGGGAGACGTTTCAGTCTAACCACTTAGCATTCTCAATGTATATCAGAAATTGAGCCAAATAAGGAGGAATCTGAATGCACCATTTTATTTCATTATATTTAAATAACTAATTATTTTTTAATTTTACATTGTGCTTATTTTTATGCCTATAGTCATATAAGGAATATAAATACAGTGATATTAATATTAAATGACACACTATTTAAAAAGTAATACATTGCACATGTCGAGGATATATTTTGTGATCAAAATTAATCCTCTTAATCATTTTTTAAATGGAAAAAAGGGAATTGTCCTTCCCGTAACACACACACACACATGCATGCACAGAGCTATTCTCGCCACAGGGTGCCAAAATGCAGAACTCTTTTTAAAAAGTTTGATTTGTACCAGAAATGCATCACTGTGGCCTGTGGTAAAAATACCTTCACTGACCTTCTCTGTACTGTTAAGTGTTGAAACCATGGCTCCCCCTTCTCTTCTCCTTTCTGAATAAATGAGCCCTAACCTATTGGGCTCATTTTGCTTATTGTCTATATAAGAAAATCTCTTTTTAAGCTTTCCCAATAGGAAAGGGTTTACTAAACTCTGGGGCTTCTAATCTCAAACCGTCCTACAATTCAGCCCAGATCAGGGAGGCTGGGTTGCTTTTCAACACATTTAAAAATATCCCAAACAAAATCTTCCACCACAATCCTTATCCCCAGCCTCCACCTGTTTCAGTAGTGGGTTACTTTGATCATTCTATATGTATGAAATAAAAGGTGATGATAAACTCTCCCCACATCTGGTATTGAAAACCCAACCTATTTGATCTCAAGCTCTTTGAAACATCAAATGGTCAAATAAAAATAAAAGACCCAGATGTTGTATTTCCAGGGCCCCTTAGACCAGTTCCCCTTCTACCCAATTCCTTGAATTCTTGAGAGTCAACTGTTATTTATTAGCATTTAAGTATTATTTCATAATAATAATTGATTTAAGGTCCCATGTCTCGGACCCTTACCCATGTAAGTAATTTTTACTCCCTTAGTTGTCCCATGGAAATCAATTCACTAGTAAGGACTACTCACACGAGTGAGAGCTTGCAGGATCATATTCTTTATAGGCCTGAACCAAAGACCTTTGAAGACATAGGCTTTGGAACAGGCATTATATTCCAAAGGTGGCATTAACAACACTATTAATGCTGTTTAAAACAATGTTAATAGACTGTTATATTTGTAATAATCAAAAAAATCCTAAATGCTAGAAATTCAGAAGACTTGCTGTAAGATTCCAACTCCATCCTTAGCTTTCATCCTCCCCACTTTCCATTTATAGGCTGGAGACCCGGACCAGTTGCCAAGCCTACCCTGTATAGCATGGTGTGTGAGGTCCCCAGTACTTTTTCTCTGTGTGTGATGATATAACCCTTCAGCCTACACCAGGTCTGGGACCTTGTCTGCAATGTTTCACAAGGGAGTCAGAGTGAATTAAGGACAGACCCTTGCAGCCTGGAAATTTGAACTCTGTGCTGGAAAGGCCCCCTTGATTTCTTAGCAAGTACCTTAGTACAAAACAGATTGCTGATGGCCTGCTCCCTGCTGCCAGTGCCACTTGGAGGGCATAGATTGAAAGGCAAGAGAAAGGGGTTGTGTCTCAATCGCACTCAGGTTACTTTGTTTGATATGGCGATTGACTGAGAGAATGGAGGTAGGGTAGATGGACTTTTTCAGTCATATGCTGCCTGAGATGCAAGGAGGCTGCCAAGCAGCTTTAGGACACACTCGCCAGCTCCACTCTTCCCTCCAGAGAAGTGGCAGAAGTAAAGCCCCCATTTGAGTGCATGGGATACTCTGAGGTCTGCAGCCCGTATATGTAAAATGGATAGGTCAAAGAGAGCTCTCTGTATCTGAAGGACAGGCTCCCCAACCTCTGTCCGGAGAGTGACCAGAGGCGGGTACTGTGGGTTTTCCTGCCTGTGCAGAAAGGGAGAGTGTGGAAGATAGACTGAGCTCTCTGGCCCACAGTGAGATAGCAGATGAAGAAGGGGGAGGGTTGATGGACTGTATATGAAGGGCAAGATGTTAGATGTTGCAGTCTCTGGTGTGTGCCAGCTGACTCGAGCTTGCAGGGATTGGGCTGTGGGGCTGTAAAATTGCCTTGGAGGTGTTTGGGCTGGAGCCCAAATGTCTAGGACGTCTACACCACAGTTTTACGGACGCCCTGCTAGGCCTCGAG